AATAAATATGCCCATGTATTTTGCACGTATACTGTACTGAATTCTGTACTATTTTTTTGGACATTAATATCATAAACATAGAAAAACATTGTCATTACATTTCTAATGAGAAATCAAATCTATGGCATCTCACAAATGAATAAAAGTATTATCAGTCCATTTTATGCAAAACTTTACATAGAAAATATGTGGGCTGAAATACCATTTGTTTTTTGCTGCAAGATTAAGGAGGATATTTTATGGATTACACACTCACATACACATACATACAGTGTATGTACACACACAGCATAGTGGTATGTACATATATCTGTGCATGTTTGTGTGTATTCATATTCCCCTTTCACCTCTATGGTAGAATGTCTTCTGTGCAAAAAAAATAGCTGTACTGAGAGCTCTGATATTATGCCTAAGGATCTGTTGGAGTTTAGGAGTGACAGCCCTAAATGCTGCTACCATCACCGGTACCACTTTGGCCTTTACTTTGCACAGCCTCTCCAGTTCTTCCTTCCGGCCTTGATATTTTCCATCTTCTCATACTGCTTCTCCCTAAAGTTGCCGTCACTCTATGCCTATTACCACTGCTGTCCTGTTCCTTGTCTAGTACTATTATGATTTAATGCTCTATCACATTATCACAAAAAACACTTCACTTGATTGGAAATTATTTCTGAATGATTAAAAAAATGACTAACGAGGTTCATTTTAAATAAAAATGGCTGGATTAGCATATTTCCCCCTCAACCCATCTTAATTACCGTAGATAAATTGTTTGGGGCAGATTTCATTCTGTGTATCTTACCCAGGAGTAGAGGCAGCTACTACTGAAGGGAGTGCATTTTGATCTGAGCCAGGAAATCTGAATTTCCTCTTCTTACTTTTAAGGAAAATAAACTTTCTGATAAAAGAAATCAAACTCCTACTAAGATCATATTTTCGACTGAATATTTGCATAGTGAAATTTTGAATGATGAGCAACAACTGAAAATCATCGTCTAAATTAGCCATGAATCAGGTTTTCATGGTCCATGAAAAGGTGGGGTGTGGGCTAATTTCTAATTGCTTTCTTGTAAGAGAGTCTGATACAGGCTAACACTAGAATGCACTACATTAGAATACACATTAGAATACACTACACAAGTAGCCTGTAACAAGTGCTCCATTCCTGCAGCCTACCAGAGCAGTTGCCTTCTATGCACGGAGAGATGAACTCATCCAGCGGAGTGGAGAAACAGAGCTCAGATCCTGACCAGTTTTATTCCCGCAACCTGCTGGAATTTTGTTCTGTGCATGGAGGGGAACTGGACTTGGCAGGCCCCTCTTGCTCCAGAAGCTTAATGACACAGGAGAAATGCTTAATGATCATAACTGGAAATGCTTGGAATTGTGGCCCTAGACTAGAGCAAAGCAGTCATGTGAGCGTCTCAATTAATTACAGTTTCACTCAACAACTGAAATTCAACTGAATAACATCTGAAGTTACTTAAAAACAAGCAGAGTTAAATTTAGCGAGCTTTTCTTCAAAGTAAATATGAATAGGCGATTCCGAGGATCGAAGTTTCCTGTTGTGAACTAATCATCACGTCAGTTCAACAATTCTTCTGTGTGGAGTTCAATTCATACGAAAGGAGAGGAATTGGCAGAGCTCTTCCTGTGTCCTTCCTTTTCCTGCAGTTGCCGTTGCTTCTTGAAAAATATCATGGAAAGTTGGGTATGTTTCTGAAGTAGCAGAAGAGATCCATGGAGAGCTGCAAAACAAGCTGATTGCCTCTTTCCATTTCTCCAGTGTAGAGCATCTCTTCATTGCCCAGTGCTACCTGCTTACAAAATGGCTATTATAGATCCAACCCATTAAGTTTCAACATTTTTGCTTATGTATGCAAGTTGCATACCAACATTCCAGCACAAAATGTTCTAATTCCAAAACTGGCTGTTCCAAAGCTGAATGATCCATGAAAGAACATTTTGCACAAGTCATATTATATACTTAAAATGGTGAACTTTCAACTTGCCCACATACTTCTGTTTTGCAAGACCTATTTCAAAATAGTAATAATAATTAGATATAAATTATTATTGTCAGTGTTATTTTTTTTACTAACGTGCACTGTGCACATTGTTCTTGTGTCTCTTTAGATCAGAACTAGCAATTTAGAAAAAAATCAAAATATTGTAAGGTAAGGATTTGTATCTACTAAAATTAACAGGCATTATTACAAAATATATTCAAACATACATACAAAGCAGAAAATGATGTGATGTTCTTGGAAAATGTATAGGCACACAATCTTTATATATTCTAAAATATTCAAGTTTTATTTACAAGATACATTTCAAACTTTTGGCATTTTAAATATAACTTTAAGTTGTCTATTCAATGAATATTTCACAATGACATTGTAACAAAGACCATAGCTATATGCAACATTATTATTTAAAATGTTAGCTTCATATAGAAATGTAAGAGATGTTTGATTTATAAATACTTATCTGACCCCTGTCAGAACATATCTATATTCATTTAAAATGAGTTGTATTAATACATGTAAAACAATTATGTATAAATAAGTGGAGAAATGTTTTTCAAGATTTATAGATGATCACATTTCCTCTTACTTCATAGAAAATCCATTCTAGTTTGTTACAAATGAAACCTGTAACTGAAATAATACAATTACTTTTATTTTAAATTAGACTAGTAAATTAATTTGAGTTGGTAGGCTAAGTGAAATTTGAACCAACTTCACAGCTAACCATTTTCTTCTGTGGAAAAGATCCCATCATCTTCTATTAATTCATTGGATAAATACTTCAAGAGATAACTTCATTCACTGAAAGATAATCAAAGATGAATATGAAACCTGTCCCCAAAAGCTGGGTGTAATTTTGTGAAGATAAGCAGGACAATTACTTATGAAGCACAGGCATTAAGCTGCAAGCTCAAGCACACTTATTAGTAAGCAGCATAGTCTAGGTCAGTAAGATTTACTTTCATATAAGATACTTTTGAATTAAAATATAAATCCCCAAACCACACAATTGAATCATCTTTATGTTGCAATTCTGTAACATTATGTTGGGAGTAATTAAGTTGACTTTTGTGGGACATCTGAATAAACACATACAGAACTGAGCTATGTTCACTAATGGGATACAAAGTATACTCAATTGTCTAATTCTAAATTCTTCCACTCAAATGTGATAACTACCGTATTTATCGGCGTATAACACGCACTTTTTCCCCCTGAAAATAGGGGGCAAATGATGTATGCGTGTTATACGCCGATGTCCCGTTCCCAATAGTGCCTAGCGGCGGCGCAGCGTCGTGACGCTGCGCCCGCCGCATATTAAAGGGAATGCGTGTTATACGCCTGTGCGTGTTATACGCCGATAAATACGGTATATTGTTCTAGATTGGTTTTTTCCAAACTATAACCCATTATTCCAATTTTTCCAAGTTTAATGGAAAAGTTACTAATGGTCTGAGATGCCTACATTTGACACTTTGCTATTTCAAGTTGTATTTGGGGGTCAGGAATTCTACTCCATACTGAGAAAAATGTCGTGCAACCAAAGCTTGAATCTTTAAACTTGATTTCTCCTGGAACAATGCCATAATTAAAACTTAAATTCAACTCTTTTGACTCTCCGAAACAATCAGGAGCACCATAATTATTTTTTATCTAGTGTTCAGGAGCAGCAAAAATAAGTCTTAACAATTTACTCATTAATTGGAAGCGACTGAAATGGATTTTCTTTCAACTATTTTCAAATGGTTGCTTCTTCTCTGTATTTTTTCCTCATTACACTTACTGCCTGAACTCCATTGTGCTATCTGCACTAGAATATGAACCTTTGATAATTATGCTGCCTCGATAGTGACAATTGTAATTCTTGTTAAATATCACCAAATCCTGGAATATTATATTAGCAAGGATTTGCACTTGAATTCTACATTACTCCCAATTGTCCTTTTTTATTTCTTAGGATACATGGGAAAAATCTTAAGTATTATTAAGGGAAATTGCAGATGACTCAGCTAGCAATATTGTCAGAGCAGAGAAAGCAAAAAGCCACTATCAGACAGTTATCAAATGGGTCTTAGAGATTTGCTAAACTTAAAAGCTGAGAAGGAAGAGAGTAGGAATGAATGGTTTTGGTTGCAGTGTATGAATCTTAGAGGAAATCCTTCTTTCTAACTTAGCCAACATCTCCCAGTGGATCATGCACAATATTAAAGCATTCCTGAAAACTTTTGTCCATGGTTCATAATGAATACACACTTGGTTCCATGCCTTCAAGTAAAAAGGCATCATATCATATACAATGCTGTGTATGCTTGCAATGAGCAAGTTCAATAGGTATAACGAAGCTTAATGTAAGATACGTGTTAATAAGACTGTAAAGATCAGAAAAGGCGAGAGAAGCATCAGGATGTTTTTTTAATCATTATCTAATTAGAGACGGGCAATGGTTTAAGACTCATGTCCTTCATAAGGAGGGCTTCCAGAGGCTACCAGATGGTGCAATGACATGGAAGAGGCATGATCATTTTTATTATTATTTGTTGTGGCTTTTAAAAATAAAATTTATAATAACAAACTGGCCTAAATTTCATGGTGTAATTTCAGGCCCGAGACCTCCTATTTCTATATCTCTGGTAGAGGGGGAGAGGAAAAAAATTCACACTATTTAAATGTTGGCCGTTTTGCTTCTGAAAACTGAAATCATAATGTCACTTAACAAGGAGCTCCATGCAACTTCATTGCCGCCCAATTTAGGGTGGGGGGGGGGAACCCACGATAGTTTCTACTGCTCATACACCTTGTATCAACAATTACAGTAGATGAAACTCGAGCTAAACAACTGCAAAATAAATAAAATATGAAATCTAAACACATTTTCGTTACTTTTGATTAGAACATTGGAAATTAATACATTCACCCCCTACAAATTAATACTTGCACTAAGTAAAACTCATAATTTCCCATAATTTTTTTAAAAAAATACCTGTTATAGTAGACATAATTTATTAAACTGTTTGCTAACAGCACAATTTGTAGGCCAATGTCAGCACATTTTGAATTAATCTAATCTTGCTTTACTCACATGGTAGTACTTTCTACTGAAATCCATGAGACTCAGCTACGTAGCACTTGCAGTGCAATGAATCTCTAACAAGTATTTATTTTTGACTTGGCAACTCATCCTATAATTTCCCACCATTGCTCACAATCTCTATTTTAGGCTCTTCCTAAATCATAAAAAAAACATATTTAGGTGCCAAGCAACCGGATTAAATGAAACAAAAGTAGCTTAAATCCAAATACTTAGACTTAATTTCATTGAGATCGGAGTGTAACATCTTCCACTTCACATGCAGTTTATTCCAATGGGGTAAGGCATGCATTGAAACCCAGTACTTTAAAGAGAGGAATATAACACAGCTAGAGTCTGACTTCTAAAAAATTTATATCCAGTTGGACGGATGCCTTGATTAACGTCTTATCCATGCTTGATATGAGAGGGTTTTTTTGCTGCAAACTGCAACTATATTTCTACTTTTTAAATCACACTAAAACACTCAGAAGTGAGTTTTTCAGTCCGAACATTTTCTAACATATGGCCACTCCTCTTTTTAGCTACAAGCTATAGTTTCAAGTTGTTGTTCTGCCTCAGCGGCCATGGCCGCTGCCTGTAATTGTTCAGTTTCACTTTGGAGGGCACTGGCTGTGGTTACTTGCTTCCTTTCGCTGTGCATATTGTTCTCATGTCTCTTTAAATCAGATGCTTTGGCAAATGCTTTAGTACAAGAGCTGCAGACAAAAGGTTTCTCCCCTCTATGTCTTCTTTCATGATCTTTCAGGTGGGACTTATGTTTAAAAGCTTTGTCACACATGTGACATGCAAATGGTCTTTCATTACTGTGAACCCTCTCGTGCTTTTTTAGGTCTGGCGCACGAATAAAAGACTTTCCACATACTTCACAGCTATACGGCTTGTAGCCTGTGTGGATCTTTAGATGCTCTTTCAAATGGGCTTGAGTAGTGAAGCCTTTAGTGCACATTTCGCAAACAAAGGGCCTGTCTGCAGTATGGAGTTTTTCATGTTTTCTCAACCGTGCTTCATCAGAAAATGTTTTGCCACATGCTGGACATGCAATTTGTTCCCTGTGACCATAAAGCAAATACTCAAACTTCATGTCTCCAGCTGCTGTTGTCCATGCTGGTGTCTGTTCATCCTTTACTTCACTTATGCCATCATTAAATGCTAGAGCCTGAGGAGTTTGTGATCCCAATTCTTTAGTTTCAGCAGACTCTATAGATTCTACTTCTTGACCATAGCAGTTCACTTTTCGAACCTCTTCACTCCCCAGCTCCTTCAGAATTGCTTCCTGAACTCTCATAGCGGTTGGCGATTTACCATCTTCTTGACTAGGAGGAGTCCCTTCCATTGTCATATCTGAAGGGCTATCATCGTGATCGCCAATTTCTTCAACCTCATCATCTTGATTATCATTAGACTCCCCAATCGGTCTATTAATTTTAAGACAATACTTATTCTTTGACTGTGAATTGTCTTCTGGACTTGATACGTCCCGTTTTTGAGAACAAAGTTTATCCAAAAATCTAATACCAAGAATCTGACCAGATGACATCATTAAATTGACGTCTTCTTTCTTAACTGAAATCTTGGCTGTGTACATGTAATTGAGCACTTCCTCAAATATATCAGATCGAAGGAAATCTATTTCAATTACAGATGAGCTGTCAACTTCCAGCTTTTTGAAAAGTTTTTTAAAATAGGTACTACAAGCAGCTAGAACACACCTGTGTGCCCTGAATTTTACATCTTCTACAACAATAGCTATATCACAAAATTCTCCTTCCAATCGTTGCTCATTTAATGTTTTCAGAAACACAGTTTTGTGATCGTCGTCATTATATTTAATGGTTTCAGACATACTGATGAAAAACTCCTAGAAAAAACAAATTTATTTAAATTACTTTAAGAAAATCAAGATATTGTTAAAAGAAGTTCCACATTTGAACGTTTATTCAGCTGATGTACATTTTAAAGTAAATGAGTAACCTTCAAATGAGCTATGGACACAAAGTTGATTACCTATTTTTTTATACATTTCACAAGAAAAAGTTCACTAATGAACTACAGATCTTATAAATAATATAAATATAACAGCTTGTGACTAGAGTTCTCTTTTACCAGATTCAACCTGCCAGAACATATTATTCCTTCTTTCATCTGAACTAAAGCAAAAAACCCAAACCAAAACAAAATGTATTTGAGAAAGAACTAATACAGAGAGACAAGCTATATTTCAACCAGGAGATAAAGCAGAAAACATTAAGTAAAGGGAAAAGCATATAAACCAGACCAAGATTCTGCCTTTATTTCTCATAGTTATTTATAATAAATAAATAATAAAATGGTTTACTGAGACAAAAAAGGAAATGTAAGCAAAGAAATATACCATGAACAAGGAAAGATCTTTTCTTAGTATCTGAGCAATGTTTTGGAAGCAGATTCTTATCCTGGGCTCCCTGCACCTGAAAAAGAAAACAATAAAAAATCTATGAAAAAAACTCACCCCCCATAACAATCCTGTGAGTTATGTTAGATCACTAGCTCAGGGTCACATAACAAGCTTATGACTGGCAAGACTGGGCAGGGGTTAAACTCCAGAGGCAATTTCCCAAACTGAAGGTATCCCAAATGGTGGAAATGCTCACACCAAATTCTTTGTACCATTGACACTGTACATTTTTCACAAAGCATTTTAACTGTAAAAAGAGTAAGTTTTATTCTTCAGAAGGATGTGCCGGAGACCTGTTTTGGAATTTTTTTTACAAAAACAAAATAATGGGCAATTACAGTCCTACACATTGTCTGGAAACACAATAACCAACCCAGGAAAAGAACAAAGGTGTAGCAAGAAAGGGAACTTGAAGGATTTGCAACTTTTGTTGCTGGTTATGGTGCTCATGATTGTTTTATGAATGTAACCACTCCAAATTTCTTGTGGCTTCCTCAAATTTAACACCATCTTTTAGTGATTCAGTAGTGATTTATTTAGTGGATATGGCAAACTGGTAGAAAATGCACCAGAAATTATCTTATGCTAAGTCAATATTCCTTCTATTAATGTACAACACTTTTATCCTAATTTAATTGATAGCCACCTAACAAAGTTGATTTTTTGCAGTTAGGAAATAAAAAATTAATTACAACACTTTTGCTAAAGCTAAAATCTTAGATTCTATTTATGTTTCATAATTTCAAAGCAAGTAATTTATTTCTCTGTGGTATTGCTACTCATGGCATTAACACAGGGGTCATCCTGGGCAGGTATTTTCCGTAACAAAATGCAAAATAAACAGCTGCCTTACTGCTCCAGGTGATGTTATCCGCAGCAAAAGTAGCATTTTAATCTGATGTAGAGAACTGTCAGCAATTGGGAATACCCTTTGAATTAAAAAAATATGAGAATTTGCTTACTAACAGATACAGCTGCTTGCAATCATGCACACATTTGTCCAAAGCAGGGGTGTCAAACTCATGGCCCACGGGTTGGATGCATCACGTGCTGACCCCATCCCCACCCGGTGCAGCAAAGGGGAAAAAAATCCCCATATGTCACATGACGCCGCCATGACACCCGAATTTGACACCGCTGGTCTAAAGCAAGAAACTGATTAACAGTCTGATCTCACAAAGGGACTGAAAATTCATCAGTTTTTCAACATTTTTTTTTTACCAAAGACTTGTCTTCACTGAATTTAACTACCTCCAAAGCTTTTTTTCCTTTACAAGTTTAGGATTGGTCTATTCGTATTAGCACAATAGTTAACCAATATCCAGGCCTAGACAAGTCATACAGTAGGATCCCGGTTATTGACAGAAAGCTGTTTGTTGGCACCTTTCACATTCACATTTTTGCTCTTTCCAACATGTCCAGAGTTTCTATCATTTAAAATCGTTGATTCTAGCTAATCTGATGATCCAATTACCATTATTCTAAATTAGAATTTGTAAATCAAGAACCACTCCTGGTTCACATATACAAGTTTCCTATTCATATATCTAGTACAAAATAATGGTTGTATATGAGATAAGAAGTGACTAGAATTCATGTACAATCATGCAGTTTACCCTATAAATAAATCTGGACTATAATAGTGGATTAGAAACCAACTACTGCTGTACTTTTGGGGGGGGGGGTCTCTGATTTCACTTTTGCTTGGATCAGTAAAAAAGCTCCAGAATATGCAAAACAACTGATGAACACAGAAGAACATACATATGCTGTTTTTCTTTACTGGAGTGTGAGTCATATAATTTTCTCATGCCTTTATATAAAAAGGATTCTATGCTCACAAAGATTGATCATGAAAGATAAAATCTTGATTGGGCCTCTAGTCCCGTGATGGTGAACCTATGGCACGTGTGACAGAAGTGGCACGCAAAGCCATCTCTGCCGGCACACGAGCCATCACCACAGTTCAATTCCACTGCGCATGCGTCTCCCACCAACCATCTGATTGTCAGGTATCTTCCGCGCATGCGCAGGGGGCGGGGAAGCATGGGGGTCACGTGTGCATACACAGGGGCACGGGAGAGCGTGTTCATGTGGGCGGGGGAAGCACGCGTATGCGTTGCATTATGGGTGCAGGCATGCATGCGCATACACGCGCACCCATGCGCACACTTTCAGCACGTGATGACAAAAAGGTTAGCCATCACTGCTCTAGTCTCTCAAGAATTCATGAATACTGTACAATATGCAGATCCTTTTCTCATGTATTCTGAATGCCTAGAGTCCTAGACAGAATATTACCATTACATTGCCTGGAAACAGAGAATGCCATGCATAAAATTTTCTCAAGTGCTCTTTCAATTTTAGGAGATATATGAACTCCATCATCCTTTTAGCTAACTAGCGGGTACATCGTGATTACCTCAATTATTTTCTAAACTATCTTTCCTGATCGCAAACTCACCAAGGTAAGACAGTCCAGATTTTTTTTTAAAAAAAATTGTAAAGCCAAAGGAACTAAACCAAGAATAAGAGAATAATTCTATGTATATTTATATAAATCAAAAGCAAGGTTCAGGAGCAGCTTACTGTACGGTAAAACTGGAATTATGGTTCAAAACCGAATTCCAAAAATTACCTTTCCAGACACATTAAATATTTGATTTTATGGCTGACTCCTGAAATTTGCTAATGAGCTTTCCGAAGTAGGCAGAGAACCCTACCGATCTAAGTAACAGTGATATGTTTTTAAGAAGCTTTTCTTCTAACAACCGGTATAAGCACCAATAAACTGAACAAACAAAATCCCTTGACATTTAAATGATCTGAAGCCTTAAGTATGCTTATTGGGGAGATCTAAATGACTACCAGGAGAACGACGCCAATTTCCAAGCCAGTTTTTTTTTTCCACACACTGACTTTATGGCGATCTTTCGCCAAACGTAGGAAAGAGCATGCGATTCTAACGTGCACGTTTTGTAGGCCAAACAAAAAAACAAACAAAAAAAAGCAATGCCGGCTCCGTGCGAGTAACCATGTAAGAAACGTGCACGGTGCATACTCGGTGCATGCGTGCTAGTGCCCGTGCAGGCCTCACGACTGTGCCCCGCTGAGACGGGGCTGCAGCTAAGCGAAGTGCACAGATCCCCTCACGCGCGACTTCCCCTCATCCCTTCCCTTCCCTTCCCTCCACCAAGGAGGCGGAGCCCAGGAAAGGCCCGCGCGCGCGGGAGCGTAGAAAACAGCCTTCCGTTCCAACCCCTCCCCTCCCCCTCCCCCCGCCGCCACTAAATCTCGCGGCAGAGCTCGCTCCCTCGCTCGCGCTCCCCAGCACTAACGAATGGGCGGCGCTGCCGGACTCTAGTACAAGCTATTCATTTACCCCGGAGCGAGCCTTCGCCTGCCGCCGCGCTGCACGGGACTGCGCCATCTCCGGCATCCTGCTGCTCCGGTCAAGGAGACGGCGGCGGCTCCAGTTAGCGCGAGGCAGCTTTTCCAGGCCGGGGGGGGGGGGGACCAACGGCGCGCGCAGGAAGGAGCAGCAAAGGGGGCGGCGCGCGACGGAATCTCTCCAGCGCACCTTCCCCGCCTCCCTCCGGTTCTGCTGCTACTGCAGCAGCAGGAGCCGCCGAGCCTCGAGTGCGCGCGCAGATGCTCGTCAAACTTACCTGCCGTTGCTGCGCTTCGCGCGGAGATTCCGGGAATGGGGGGGAGGGGGAAAGGTTGGGTTACGGTGGCGGGAGTGTTTCGTCCAAGCAAAGATTTGGGGATTTTGGGGGGGGGGAATTGTAGGGGGGAATGGCGCGCGTCTCTAGCCGTTACCGCCGCTTCCTGCACGAGCATTCCCGGCCCCGCGCGCGCACGCGCGAGGCGCGCCGGAGGCGGGAACGTGCATGCGCGTTGCGAGCAGGGCGCGCCCCCCGCGGGGAAAGGGCGGGCACTGCGGGGATCTTTCTAAAGAGGCGAAGGAGCTTAGCGGCTGTTTTGAAGGGGGAGGAGGAGGAGGAGGAAGGCGCGCCTGCGTTGCTCTGCCGCTCTTCCCGGGCTCGCGCGCCCTCGGCTGAGCCGCTTCTGACTCTTGGTCGATGTGGTCGGGGCCGCGCGAGAAGGAACCGGTTGGCGGGGCTATGGATCCCGGATTAGCCGCTTTGGTTCTATTTCTGCGGCGGAAGGAAACATGCATCTCCTTGGCTCTTTTTTCCACACATTTTGTCTCTGACGTACTCCTGTCCCAGTACATATCAGTTACATTTTACCAATAATAAAAACAATGATAAACCACACTTTCAACCTTCCTTCAAGCTGCGTTTCGTGACATTGCTCCTTTGAGGGTTGAGGGACCAGAAAATTCCGTTTCCACGCTGAGAAAATAATAATAATAATAGTAAATTCTGAGACTGAAATAGTGACTGTCCCCGCCCCGCAGCGAGCCCCTATCCCGACTGAGGTAAGAGATTCTCCGGCAAAGATGGGGCCGGCGCTGAGGAGACAGTGCTAGAACACAGGCTTTCTAGGGGAAAGAGCCATGTGCGAACAACAGGTTTGCTTACTGCTAACTTTAGTATCCAGAGTTCTGGTTCCCCGTGACACACTGAATCATAAACCGATCTTGGGGAAAAGATGGTTTTTTTCTGATTAAAGGAAAGAAAACGAAGAACTGGGTCCCTTCTCAAACACCCTTTGTCACTTCTGCCCTGGCTCACAGATGTTTGAGGTCTTTATACATTATTTTTTTAAACATCTATTTGCTGTATTTTTATTTACAATTGTTTATATTGATTGATTATACCCATGGTTAGTCACATAGTTTACATTAAGCCACTTCAGGAAAATTGTCATCCTACAGGTGATTATAAATAAATAAAGATAATGAATTGGCAAATGAAGGGAAATATAAGTGTCCCACGATATTGTTGCAGGATCCAATCTGGGTCGGTCACCGGAACCAGAGGTTTTGTCTTCCAAGCTTCCGGTCTCGTGCTGGAGCCCATCTTCTGGGAACTTCTCTCTAGCCGAGTGTGTGCTGTTTTCTATGTGGTATTTATAGTGTCCATTGTAAGTGGCTTTTTAGATGTTGACTGGGATGTGTTGATGGCTGGCTTTTAAGTCGTTAGCTGTTGTTTGCTTGTGCTGCCCATCCCTCCCCTATTAAGTACTTGATAGGCTGATGGTAAATCAGCACTCCTGTTGACTGATGAAGCATTTGTTTCCCAGACTTCAGTAATTTCTCTGGCTGTTTTTGTGCCTGCTCATCCAACAATTTTAATAGCTGCAAAACTGAATGTGTGTTCTTCTTCATTGCAAGGTGAAGTTACTAATGAGTTCAGTTCTCCTGTCTGACTGCTCGCTTCTGTCCTTGCAATCTGGTGGTAAACTATCTTCCCTGTCTGTCCTATAAAGTCATAAAGGCAACCCATGCAGAGGATTCAGTAGATTACATTGGAATTATCTCCAACCTCCAAATGATATTTATAATTTGTCCTTGTATGATAGCCTTTGGGTGGTTTGCGATGCAGATCTCGGAAGCTGCATTCTACAGAGTCCGAAAGTTTTTTGATATATGGCAGGGTGTGCCATGTGATTGGTCTTGTACCTTGTTTCTTCCTTTCTCTCCCCTCTGTGTTGCACAGTGAATATTGAATTGACGACTGAAGTTTTGTTTATCTGGTACATTTATATTAAACTAAAATAAATGTGTTTAGTTTGCGGTTCAATGTGTTGTGCAAAATCTGTTTAGGAAGTCGTGCAAAATTAATTCTATGAAGTTGTCCTTAATTAATTCTATGAAGCAAACACATAAAATTGGTAACAGTTGACTGAAATCTTACCAATCATGGGCTTATTTTTCTGTGACAGTGTCTTTTGCACAAAAGAAAAATAAAGTGTAAGTAATATATGAAAGCTGGTGTGGTATACTGCTTAAGGTCTCAGGCTAGAAACTGGGGAGACTGTTCTAATTCTTCATAGGCACAAAGACAATGGGATGACCATGGATTAATCACTTTCTCTCAGTTTTAGGAAAGAGGTCATGGGAAACCACTTCTGAAAATTCTTGCCAAAAAAACTACAGGACTTCTATGGGCAGTCTCCTAGAATCAGATATGATTGAACAGGGGGAAAAGGTAATATATAGTACCTGAAAATAAGGTTAGGCTCTGATATCCTAAGTAAGATTTCTAAACCTAAAATGAAACGAAAGAATTTGTAGGACACAGAGTTGAAAGACTCCCTTGCCCATATCAATTTAAATATTCTTCACATATGGCTATCCAGCTTTCTCTTCATTGTACTTGTATTTGGACAGGATGCAATACATTTAAACCTGGAAATATTAGTTAGTTCATGGGCAGTAGGTATTTTTTACATTTTTGATATGGCTAAGCTGTATTCCTACTCCTTCAAGCAGCACTGAACCAAAGAATGCAAATTCATTGTTACCCTTCTGCATTTTTCCTGTGCTACAGTGTATATTATATATTTTCTTTTCCTTTTGAACATGTTTCCTCTTTGTTGTTCTTGGAATCCTTTCCTGAACTTTAGTTTTCATGACATCATATCTCCAAATGTAGAGAATCTCGTATTCTTCTTGGTGAAGGTTTCATCTCATTCATATGTTGAAAATGTTTCAATCTGTAATCAGATTGTCTTCTGCTATATACCATTTTATGCCATTGTATTTTTAGTATCTGATTTTTAAATTAAATCCTAGCCATCTTTAATTTCTCTTCCCATTAGCTACCACTGGCATGGTATAGTTATCATTGCTTTAAATGAAGTCCAAGGTTCAATGGCACTCAGTTTTGGATTCCCTTAGTATCAAGAAATCCAGTTGTATATACACAATTTCCTCCATAGATTACTTCTTTTTCTGTTTTGTCTACTATTCTTATTAGTTAAAATCAAATTAAGAATAGCTTGGTTTGAAAACTATTGAAATTCTCAACAAGAAAAGGCAGGAAGTTTATTTAAATGTTAATTATTTAAAATTTCTGATCATTACTAAGTTGTGTATCTTTGACATATTTGTACTTCGCTTTTGGAAAACACTCACACCTCTTTTTCTTTTTTTTTATCAATAACAGATGTTAGCATAATGATACTGTTACCACATCCCGGACATAAACTGTTCCCACTCCTTCCCTCAAAATGAGTGCTATAGAGCACTGCACACCAGAACAACTAGACACAAGAACAGTTTTTCCCCAAAAGTCATCACTGCTAAATACAATGTCTGCACTACTATTACTATTAATCTTCTCATCACTACTTATCACCCATCCCCCTCCCACTTGTGACTGTATGGCTGTAACTTTGTCACTTGTATCCTTACGATTTACATTGACTGTTTCCTGGTATGATTCAATTGCTTATTGTACCCTATGACTAGGATTATTGTACCTTATGATTCTTGACTCTTGACGAATGTATCTTTTCTTTTATGTATACTGAGAGTGTTTGCACCAAGACAAATTCCTTGTGTGTCGAATCAACTTATCTATTCTATTCTATTCTATTCTATTCTATTCTATTCTATTCTATTC